TATTATTATTATTATTATTATTATTATTATTATTATTATTATTATTATTATTATTATTATTATTATTATTATTATTATTATTATTATTTCACAAACTTCATCATCTTATCATTCAGATGGTTCACCCCCACCAGCATTACTTTCTCAGAAAGCAAGATTTGCACCAGTCCCAAAATTTTCACCAGGCCTGATTAAAGCTTGGCTTGACTAAACTGCCAGAATCCCTCAGCCAGCGCAGCCGCAAGCCATACTGGATGTTGAATTCTGGGAACTGTAGTCCAAAAGGAGGAAATTTCCTTAGTTCTGGGCTTTTACAATAGTTTATTAGTCCTCAGTCTAGACCTAGCAAAAGCTGTGGGCCTGAAACAGCACAGACCTTATGGACTAACAGAACACGTAGCAAAATAAGCAGAACTTTAAAAGTTTTTTTTTTCTGGACTAAACCTCTCAGAATCCCAGAATAGCCAGGCTTGCTGAGGGATTCTGGGAGATATGCTCCCTAAACTCTGGAAAGAAGTTTTAAAGCTCTGGAAAAGTTGGCAGGGCCTAAATACTGGTACCATAAGGACTTTAGTATCCCTACTGCTTCATTATTATTCCTTGATTTAATTTGTGTCGAAGGAATCTATTTTTATTTATTTATTTATTCGATTTTTACCCCACCCCTCTAGACAATGTCTACTCGGGGCGGCTTACATGGATAATCTAGAGAAGCAACCTGCTTTCTAAATATGATTGACTGGTGGTAGGCATCATCCTACTTGCTCTTTGTATTTCCAAAAGAACAGCTCAGAATTCTGAGTACAGTCACTTTATGCTCCCTTCTTTAAGCTTGCCAATTTCTGGATTTGATGAGAGTCTGACATTATTTTGCACATCTCTTTGCACACACAAACGCTAAGAGAAGCATCTACGTATTGGCAAATTCATTCTAGGCTAAACAGCTACAGACTGTGATTGAGCTTGATTATCTCTGCTAAGTTGTCTTTGCTTCAGCAAGACAACTAGCTTTGACCTTTCCGAGGGAATGAAGGTGACAGCCAGAGATTGGATCTGTAGAAAGCACAGCATGCATTTTCTGTATCTCTGGATTGTAGATTCAGCACCACACCCTTTCAAGGTTTACATTTTTTTGTCCTCACCCACTACCCTCAAGCAGTGACACACACTCACCTTCATCAGGACCGATTCAGAAAGCTTTTCCCGGTTTACAATCTTAATCGCAACTTTCTGCCCTGTGATGCAGTGTACACCCAGTTTCACCAGACCTAAGGAAACAAAAAGAAGCACTAGAGGTATTATATAACCCACAACTGTATGAAGTCTCTGGATGATCATACAAGAAAGCTTACCTTCTTGGTGACAGCCCTCCCTCCATATGCCATGCTCCATAATTATACAATACTGTATACCAGTTGAAGTGTTCCCTTGACAGCATCTGGTGACAAGGAATTGCATGCAGGTGAGCGAACATCTGGCAAAGGAAGCAGGGAATGTTCTCTGCCTTTTTCTCTACCTGCTGTGGAACTGCAACAGGTTGCTGGAAGAGCAGATGTTTGGACAAATCACTCTTTTGGACTACAGCTCCCAGAATCCCTCACACAGTAACAGTGGCCTTTGTAGCTCAAATGACTGTTCCAGACTCTGAAGAAGGGACAGGGCACTCCACCCCTCCTCTGCCATATCCCACCAGGCAAATGCAAGGCTAGCAATTTTTGTGGAGTTCAACCCTAAAATAGACCTCTATGCAGTTTAAAAGCAATGCCACTTATTTTGGTCAAGCTTACAGAGTTCTCAAAGGTTCTGGATTTCTAGCTAAGCACTGGAATTCAAACGGCTTACTTTGTAGCATCCTTGGGAATTGTACTACCAAAATATTGTTTATGCTTGATATAACATTTTTATTACTTTGAGAATGGACTGTACAATGACTACATGAATATAACTACAAAACTGTGACCTCTTTGCAAATGCTCACTTACTAGAGATATATCTCACACAACACTGTGTCTGTTCTTCATACGTACATAAACATGCATTGAATCTGGTCGGGGGGGGCATACATATAAAAACAATGCTATAATTTCCTGCACAGGTAAATAAACCAAAGTGGTTAGCTGATATTCCCAGCATTAGGAGCCAATTATTAGAAGATTGCTGGAAAGTTTTCTGTGGCCACTCTCCTACTGCTAGTCTAAAACAGTTCCATTGAGTCTTGAGTAGGTCCATTGACTCAATGAGATTTACTTACATTTTAATTTACCATTCAGTAACTGATTCAATGGCACTAATTTAGTTGGGACTAGCAGTAAGATACTAGCCTGTATGTTTGAACAACATACCCAAGAGACCTTGAAGAATCTCCCTCTCTCTCTCTCTCTCTCTCTCTCTCTCTCACACACACACACACACACACACACACACACACACACACACACACACACACACACACACACACACACACACACACACACACACACTTAAAAGTGAGGCAACATCTGTCAGAGGGAAATCAATAGTGAGCAGGACAGAGATGGGAAGTATGAGCTATTTGAATTACAACTCCCAGAATTCCCCAGGGCCAGTAATCATGCTGGATAAAGGAAACTGAAAGTGGCTACCTGTAGGTAACTGCCTTTTGCCCTTTTAATTCCACAACCCACTCTGGCATTCTGGGCACCACAAGGCAGTTGAGTCTAGCCTGACCCATGTCCTCTTGATGGAGCACTGTGGAAAACCTGATGGAGATCGGGTCCTAACTGATCACTACTGCTAACAGCAAGGCTACTGACAGAGAAGATATTGACAGAAGAGATCAGGGATGTTGTCAAGTCTTTGGGTCCAAGTCCCAAGTCTTTGATACCAAGACTTGAGTCCTAAGCACCAAGTCTGAGTCCCTATTAAAAACAAGTCTTTCCACCAGAAAAAAAGGGATGGTTGTGTGGATTCCAAGTCATGAGTCAAGTTCAAGTCAATGGGGAACCCCCCCCCCAACTCAAGTCTGAGTCAAGTCACTGGTGTGATTTAAATCTGACTTGACAGTGAGTCCTACAATTCAAGCCCCCATCCCTGGAAGAGATGGCCCTCCCATTGCAAAGACACTTTGTCCATGCTTCATTCTTGGATACCTGAGTTTGGCCTGGATCAAAAGAGGAGAAAGAAACCAGCTTTGCCATTTAGAAGAGACGGCTGGGATTGGGCTGAAGGCAGAAGAAAGTTGGGACAGGGCATCTCTCTGGCATCTCATGCCAGGCCATTGATCTGTCCTTTGTAGGAAGAGTTTTCGATAGCCTCGCAAGGCCAGCGCAGCCCAACACCTTTTGCTTCTGGAACTAAAGAACAAGAGGGTGCCCCCCATCCATTCCAGGTACACAGGGCAACTGGACTAGCAGCCAAAGCTTACTTCAAGATTAACAAAAGGGATAAGACACTAGTTTCTTCATCATCATCTTAGAACAGCAGAGCTGGAAGGGATCCTATGGAGCCCTGAGTTCAGCTCTGTCAGGGAGGCACAGTGGGGAATCGAACTCCCAACCTCTGGCTCCACAACCAAATACCTAAACTCCTGGGCTATCCAGTTTACAGGAGGCAAGACAGTATGGTACACTATTCTGCAATGAAAGGAACTGCAATGGGGCTCAGAAGAAATTACCAGGAGCTGTTATTGCTGCCCCCTGTCTTCTGTCACCTGTGGTTGTTGCATCATTTTGCCTAATGGCAGGACCGGCCCTGCCACATCCCCTTAGGCTCTCCTAGCATGTTTCAAATAAAGTAAATATTAAGATGCCGCTTTTATAACATACTGCTATCCATGTTTACACAGAGGTAAGCCTTGGTGTGTTCAAAGATGCTTACTTTCTAGGTAAACATATGCAGGATTGAAGCCTAATCTCCAAGGCACTTGTCATCTATAGGAAACCGATTCCTTGCAAGGCTGCCTCCTGGATGTTGTCACTGCAAAGGGAAGCAGGGAGCATGCCACAATATGTACTGTTGGCTTGTAGGGAAATGCTTGCGTTTCTGAAGTCAACGTGTTTCAAGGTTATGTTGTAAGATCATGCCCTCAATTCCCCTGGAAGTGGCTTTCTTGTTATTATTACAGACTTCCATGCTCCCCACTTCCCTAAGCGGTATAAAGTTCCAGCAGCAACTTAAATGAGATCAGCTTGCTTTTCCTCCCCACTTTTTCAGCCATATAACCATAGAGAATGATGGCTAGGCATACCTGTTAACAATTCTTAAGTGGCAATTAATCTGGATGATGGAGGGAAGGATCCAGACCTCAACAGCTGGCCATGTACTTTACCTGCAGAATGTTCTGCGGTCAATGTCTCCAGTGAGAGTTCAAATAACAGCCCAATAAGAAACAAAGCTTGGCAAAGTTACTTTTTCGGGACTTTTTAATAGCCAGAATTTCCAGATGCTGTCCATGGGATTCCGGCAGGCATGATCCAAAAATTAAATCCCCTAAACTTCGGAAACAAACATCACTGCTGGAGATTCTTGTGAGTGGTTGCTCATTCAGGTGGGCTAGAAGGATGAAGTTGTGCAGGATTCGGATGCCACCCCACCCCTCATTCTGCACCAGTCCTGGATTCCCACATGCCACAAACACCAAAAGATCACTTCAGTTTTCTGAAAATGCTACTTTAGGACAAAACAAGGCGCTGACATGGCACAAAATAGCATTTAACAGAAAATTCTCGGGAGGCATTTGTACGAGTGATTCTCCATGTTTTGTAAAAAAAAAAATATCTTAAAAAATGTCTGCACTCTAGATGAACAGTCATTCCTAACCTTACGTTATGCAGGTGTTCTTGGACTATAACTCCCAGAAACCCTGGCTGGCATAGCTGGGAGTGAAGGCTTCTCGGAATTGCATTCTAACAACCCCTGGATTACCTAAGGTTGGGAACCATGAGCCTCATGGTGCAGTGGTTAAAACGTAATATGTAGTCTGCATAATTAAAAATTGTAAACCGCCTGGAGAGTGCTTGTAGCGCTATGGGGCGGTATATAAGTGAACGCCTGGATTACCTAAGGTTGGAAACCACTGCTCTAGAGGTTTAAGAGGCCACCCAAAAGATGTGGCCCAGCACATATAACCTGAGAGCCTCATAGTTCCCGGAAACAGATAATATTGAACCCCTTATCCTTGAGGACCTACATCCAATTATGCCCTGTCCTGTCACCTTGGTTTGTCCGTCTCCTCCAAAATCTTCTGCTAACTGAAATGACTCTCCTCATTTTCTCTTGCTGTCTGAAACACATCTGTATAAACATCTTCCTTATTTTCCTTAAGTCCCTCTACAAATCTCATCTCCTCTGGGAAACTGTGGATCATCTTCTAATCCCTGTACCTTATTGAAACTAAGCCGAAGTATGCATAATTGAAATAATAATCGTATATTCTCTCCCTGCTTACCTATGTATCCACCCTCCCCCCCTTATTCTGTTGTTCTTCCATGCCTGTTTCAAACTGTACACCCTTCAGGATAGGGGCCTGTCAACCCTGTTGTCTATAGTGTGTATAGTGCAGGAATGAGCTTGGTAAGTATTTGAATGGGAAACCCCAGATTTTATTCCTGTTCAGCCATGAAACTCACTGGAAATACTTGGGAAACTTTCTCTCAGCAATCATACCTTGCAAGTTGTTGTGAGGATAAAAGGAGAATGAGGAGAACTTGAGTTCGTTGTAAGAAATATGGGATATACTGTAACCCAGTGGTTCCCATCCTTGGGTCACCCAGATGTTCTTGGACTGCAGTTCCCAGAAGCCTTCACCGCCAGCTGTGCTGGCCAGGGTTTCTGGGAATTGCAGTCCAACAACACCTGGGTGACCCAAAGCTGGGAACCACGGCTGTAACCAATGAATAGTAAAAACATTAAGTCCTATGTATTCAAATGAAGCTATATAAAGGAACAATGAAAATTGAGAGAGTAGTAATAGTAACAATAGATATGCCGAAGTCCTCGCCCACCCAAGACATTCTACTGCCCAAGGTAAATGGCAACATGGAACACACACAAACACATTCCTCCTACACAAGCCAACAAGACTGGGCACTAAATCTTGCTTTAACCTTTGGTAATAGGACAGCATCCTGTTATACATCCTATATATGTGAGAGGAGGCTGCCTGGAAAAACACAGCTCTGTTTTCCACACAGAGAGGAGCAGCTAAAGGAATCCAGCATCTACTGCCTGAGATTACTGCCTCACTCTACTTAACACTAGGGACAGCCTTGTATCTCCTTTTGAACAAAAC